GTTTTTACCCTCTGGTTTAAACCCCCAAAGATGCAATAGGATTATGGGGATGTGAAAGTTAAGAATACCAAGTTGTAATATATCAATTTTCTAACAAACAATTTGATCCTGAAGTGTGAACACTATAAACTCTCCTTTTTTGATAAGAATTCGTTTTTTTGATATTTCTCTTAACCAAGTTGCAAAATATATAATATCAGTCTAACAAACATCATTCCCCTAACTAGTACAAGTTTTAACAATATTTAATGATGCTGAAGTGCAAATTAACACTGTTTATAACTTTATCCTAGAATGCATACTCAGGATGCATTCATGCCAAGCCAACATTCGGTAGCATCGTGGTGTATGGGTTAACCAAGTGCATCATAGGTTTCCAAACACACAAGTGGAATTTTTCGAGGATTTTGGTTCTCCTCACTTTAGAAAAAAAGAATTCAATGGCAGACAAAATTCAAACCTGGCACCCTTGCGTGGCACCAAAATTATATTTATAACAATGCCTATCCTAAACTTGAACCTTAAACACTCAGCAGCCACAAAGTGAATTCACTTGGAATGCTTTCCAATTTTTGTCATATTAAAAATGATGCTTCATTATCGCATGCACAAATATATTYATTATAGAATAATATATGCTGTCGTAGGACAGGAGTTCTGGCCAAATGAATTTGCATATTGGAATTGGAATTTGAATAGAATCCCCCTGACAATGCCTATACACCACGGTACTACCCAACACTATTTATCTTACTGTAATAAAACACATCGAGGCTCTTAGGATGCACTTTATAAATACTATTTATTATTACTCTTTATTATTATTTATTATTATTATTATTAATTATTATTATTATTGAAAATAACATTTATTTACTAGTATACAGGGTGGTCTCCACAAATAAAAAGAAATAAAATCTTTACAAATACTTTTAAAACAAAACATAATTTAAAAAAAGAAGGCATACATATATCACTCATATCACGAAAATAAAATACATATAAAAATGTTAGTTTTTTTTTGTTGTTGTTGTTGTCTTTTCTTAAATGTTATAGTTTGATGAGGAACAAATTGAAAAATATATCCCTGCATTATAGGAAGCACAGGTGGCATTAGCGGTCAGAGCACAAGCCTCTGACTACATGAGGTGTGACCGGCAGGTTTGAGTCCTGCCGGTCTTGGTCTCGTATGTG